ATAAATGCTTATTGATTTCTTGGGATACATTGATCTGATGAGAATTTTGGACTTCACATTCTCAGGATTATGGAGTTGACTTCGATGATGATGACTATCCGATGAAACCATTTGATTGTTTGTGTGGTAGCAGATTCTGCAGGAACGTTAAGCGATCAAGGAGTGAGTAATCATGACAAGATTTTAGTAGCATTTACTGATTCTTTTACATTGGACTGAGTGATCAACAATGCATCTCACTTTCACATGGTTTTTTGTTATGTTTCAGAGGCCATGCAGTTGATGAACAGAGCATGAGAAGACTATGAAGAAGTCAAAATATGAGGTCCTCTGTTATTTTGGTGAATGGGATTCTCTTAACGGGTAAAGAAAGTAATTTTAACAAACCGGATTAAACCATGTTTTGTAGGAAACTTGAAACAATATCTAACTTTGGTTATTGTGAGATCAAACTCTATGTAAACCTTGAGGGTCTTAAACTTTATTTAATTAGAATTTGTGTATTTCTTAATTTCAAAAATTAATGAATTGGAAATGATGATTATATATTGTCTTTGTTCACATGGTTTTGTTCATGTGAACAAGTGGTGGCAGCTCAGATTGCCGTTGAACCACTTTCTCAATATAATTAATTTTATCGATGTATGAAATTAATCAAGTTGTTATAAACGATCTAAAACATCAAAACAACTAGTAACAATTCCTGTAATGTTTTTAAGTGTTGTTGATCGGTATTTGTATATTTGACCATTCTACTTTTTGAAATGTAATTATTGTTTGTCTAAGAAAGTTAGCTTATATACAATTTTGATAAACAATCTAACGCTCAAAAGTTAGTTGAGAAAATAAAATTTTAATTTTAGTATTAATATTTTGTAGCTGAATAGACGGTTGACAGAAAACATTATATTTATGGAAATAAATAAAAAAACATTTAAAATGTAGAAACTAATTCAATAACAATTAATGAGCATTTTATTGTTGGTTAACTTGTGCGTGATCAATCTTATACGTGCATTGTTGAGTTTTTCTTTTGTCATCAAAATCGAGTGATTCAAATGTCAACTCGTAACAAATTATTGGTAACTCGTAACGAAATTATACATATTTCACATGTCTATACTCAATAGTATATACTATATACATAAGAAAATCAACTAAAGTTCATTAGAAAAAATCAACTAAATAATTAAATTTAGAGATCCATATTTCACTTGGACAAGTTTAGCATACGA